TTAGGCTTTATGCTCACCCCTATGGGATTTGGTGCAGGTATAGATATGGTGACCCCGCCAAGCTAAGGGCGTGGAAATGTTTTGAAGAAGAGTAGTTTAACTCTTATGTTGTTGTGATATTTTTTTTGTAAGCCAAGGGAAAATGTGTCTGGGTCCGAGAGACCATTACGTGTAACCGAGCTATTGCCTTGGAACTTGTAAGCCCTTGAGGGCCTTATTCGTTGTGATTTAATGATTTCTTTTACATGCAATAGATTCATGTACTAATGGGTAAGTAAATGTATAATGACTTGTGAGAATACTATGGTAAATATTGGAACCATGCAAATGAATTTGATCAATATCTCATTTTGGAAGTGAGTTGATGTAATAGTTATGTGTGTTTATTTTCGAGGTGTGACAAAATGTGCCAATGCTTTTCAAAATACATTTTTGTTTTACTTTTAAATATAGGAAGCAATTTGCTAGAATAAGAAAATGAAGATGTCAAATTTGAAACATTCAAAAATTGGCTTCTTATGCACATATATTTCTATATTTTGAGACACGTAAATTTTCTTTACAATAAATTTTCAAATCTCATATTCTCACCAAAAAAAAAAAAAAACCTTACAAATTCCAAAAATCTTGTGTTACACAAAAAATTAAAAATAATAAAATAGTTTAGAAAAGTTTATCTGTATTTATATCTATCTGTAACAAAAAGCCATAGTTTCAAAATCCCATGTCTAATTTCTTTATTTTTTTAATTTTAAAAAATTCTATTAGGTAATTATGCCATGATTTATGGCTTTCAAACAAAGAATATACTAAACTATTTTAAAATTAAATTAAAAAGAGAACACTTTTATCATAAATCTCATAATTTACGGTGAAATTTTTGAGATTTAAAGTTTCACTCTAATTTTCTCAATTTTATTAAATTTTATAACCAGCTAAATTTCCGGCACAACAAAAGCACCAAGCTCTCTCCTATAGATAAAACAAAAGTGATGACATCTTCATAATAATGACGTAAAGGGAATTATAAGGAGTTTTTACTACAGTGTAAGGGGAATTGAAAGGAGTTTTTATTGATTATATGGCTATTTAAAAATCAAAGTATGTATGTGTATCTTTTTTCTTGGTATAAGTATTTTTTTACCAGAAGATCAGCCGATGGGGTACATTTTCTTTATATTGGAAAAAAATAATAATAAATAGAATTGGAACAGGTGTGAAATTTTTGTAACTTTATGTCTATATAAATTTGAAAACAGTGGAAGGAGTAATTGATTAAGAGTCACAAAATTTAAATTAAAAGCCAAAATTGATTAAATTGAAATTGTAGGGAACAAAATGACATAAGGGGCAAAATGTAAGGATTATTAATGTAATTTATTCATGTTTTATTAATTTCTTACTCATAATTTAACTTGGTTTTAAATTTTTTTTTCCCTTTTATTTAGTAACCTTTATATTTGGTAGCTATTGCAAAACTTTGAACATATTTCATCATCAAATAATTTTTATTATTATTTTTGGTTTACATGGATGAAACATTAGAGTACACTTAATTGCATTCTTATTTGGATTGATTTGCATTTAATTTTGAAATAATTTAATTTGTTTAATTAACTTACAATTTATCATTACATTGTCAATGTTTCACATAATTTTTAATCTTTTGTGTTTATTATGCGCTACACAGTGATTTTTTTTTATATTTATTAAAATAAAATTAATATATCAAAAATATATATACATTAACTGTGCATAGCACTGGTTTAACGCTAGTTTTATATAAGGGAGTTTAGATATTGCACAATCTTCTGTGAAAGAAAATTTAAAATAAAAACTTCCATTTAATTACCTAGGCTCTTCACATTATAGTTACATCTTTCTATTGATAAAATTAGTAATTTTACAAACAATAAAAAATTTCACAAAAAGTTGTACATAAGAGTAATGCATTGTTGACATTTAAACTGGTGAAATAACTCCTATATAAGAAGAATGCAACACTGTCAACAATGCATTTGGTACATGTGTTTGTATTGTTTTCTCAATATAAACAAACAAATTCAACTCTCTTTTCCTGTCTCTATCACTCTAGTGTGGGAAGCTTAGGACAAAACATGCAGATTTTTGAAACAGTAGAGCAAGTATATGTGAGGAATTCTACATTGACAGGAACTACAAATGGAGTAAGGATCAAGACATGGAAGGTACACAAACATATATCAACACACACATATGTATACACATGGACAAATGCTTTGTCATCTGCATATTTTGAAATTTTGTAGACATTAATTTTCTAATTTTGAAATTATCACATGTGCTATCTAGGGGGGATCTGGGTATGCAAAGAATATCACATTTGAGCATATCACGTTTTTTAGAGTTGGAAATCCCATCATCATCAATCAATCTTATAAGGACAATCCCAAAAATGACGAACTGGTAAAAACATTGAATCTTCATTTCTTAAGAAGAGTTTTGAGTTTTTCCACACGCTTGTACCTACCAAAAGAACTGGCATACTATTTTGATGGTAATGTGATTCATATTGAAGGAATCGGCGGTGCAAAGAAGTGATGTGACTTATATGAATATCAATGGATCGCCTGTCAGTGACCAAGCAATTACTTTGAATTGCAGTCTGAGCAAACCTTGCACAAATATTGTAATGGGTCAAATTAACTTATTTTCCTCCGTTCCTGGAGGGAAAATCACTTCCTTTTGCCAAAACGCCCATGGAACTTCCATTTCAACTATACCTAATGTAACTTGCTTGTCAGGTTAAAGTAGTGTTTGTTGTAATAATTGGTACTGTTCCAACAACAATAGCATTGTTTAGCTTGTCATTATTAATAAGAGTATCTTGTGAGTTCCATCTCTTTGCAATATAAAGCATTGAATCCTCATGATTTTGACAATATTCAAATTCAATTGCATTATTAAATTGCAAACACTTGGTAAATTTGAATCTTTGTATAATTACATTCTAAATATAAAAAAAATTACAATATTTTATAATGAAAGCTACAAATGCTTGGACCCTTAAAAATGTGTGTATGTATGTTTTCTACCACAACATTCGTAAAATAATTGCAAAGTATAAAAATAGGATAAAGTACATTTGTGGTCATTAGAAGTATGTGTGCCTTGTCACTTTGGTCTTTTAAATTTTAATTTTGTCAATTTTTTTATTGAAACTTTCATTTGAATCAATTTGGTCATATTTCAAATGAACTAACATAATGATAATAAAATACACATATGGTTCCTAAGATATGGGTTCTATGTCACCGCACAAATATTGATGAAAAAGATTAAACGCAACCTTACAATATTGAGGGATAAAATTGAAACTTTAAGGACTAATGACACAAAATTTATACTTTAGGGATTGTGTTGAAATTTTTGAGTATTTCGCTTACGATTTAAATGGTCATTTGAAATTGGATCAATTTGAAGCTCAAATCTCAATGAAATAGATTTACCATTGCGCCGAGACTTGTCTTCAATTGGTGAATATGGAAAATATAGAGACAGGATTAAGGCTTGTGGGATATTAGACAAAGGAGAGAAAAGTTTGGTGTTATAGTCTTGTTGGTGCTAGGAAGTCTATCTTTGTCTGTGTTGAAATATAGCGATCCCGGTTTTCCCTTTCGATATTTGTTGTGTTCCGGACTTTGGTTCCGCGGAGTTAGTAGTTGTATCTATCTTATTGTCATCCTTTGATTCCATTTGTTTCAGTTTTAGGATGTGTTGGGCATGTTTCGAGCAGGTGGGTTGAGCCTTGGTCTAAAATCTTGGTGCTAGGTTTTTGGTCATTCCGCTTGAGCGGGTCGTCTAGCGCTCGAGCGAAGATTGCACACTCCCAGTATTTTGGTACTCTACAAACCTTCTGCAGGTGTGATTTCTACGCTCGAGCGGATTTCCGGCGCTCGAGCGGGCTTGTTGGAGCTCGAGTGGGTAGTACATTTTTGGTGTGAGTTCTGGGAGGAGGAAATCTACGCTTGAGCGGGCTGGTGTTCGTACTCGAGCGGATGTACTTTATTCTTGTGTCTTGGCGCTCGAGCGTCCTGTTCTCCGCTCGAGTGGGAATGTCGTATATCAGAAGGCAGTTAGGCATTTTTGAATCACTTTTCACATTCACTCTCTCTCTCTTACTTTCCCAAAACCGATTTTGAGAGCCTCTCTCTCTAGAGACTCCCTTCTCTCTAGGGTTTGATCTAGTTAGAGTGCTTCTCTTTCCTTTGGCCTTTGTAAAAGTTGTGTTGATTGTCGAGGGCTTTGTTTTGATCCGTGGATCTTGGAGTTTGGAGCATTTTGGTTTTCTTCATCTCCTTCCCTTGGGCTCCGAATTTAAGGTAGGGATTCCTACTCACTTTTATGGGTTTTGACCTAGATATTGAGTTTTTGTATAAATGGTCTTGGGTTTTGGAAACTAGGGTTTCAAATGTTTAATTTTGAAAAGAGGGTTTTGTTTATTTTGGACCATAAATACGTATTTGGGTTTCAAAATGAGTATATTGATGTTATTGGTAATATATGGATTCTTGGAGTCAATATTGGGAATCAAGGGGAAAATGCCATGTTTGGGTATTTTTGGGTCACTAATGTAATTAATGACAAGTGTTGAGAAAATATGGAATTGAGTTGAATATAATGAAATTGGCTCATTATGAGATGGATTAGTGAAGTTCAATTTATTAATCCCTCACTTTTGGAAATATGGATAAATTATCTGTTAGCGCATTTATTATCTGTTTAGAAATAATTGCCTTGGGCTACCGGTGGAGGGTAGTCGTGATTGTTGTAGACAATGCATGATGATTAGGCAAACTAAAACTAATCAATGGAATGTGTCATTGTATATGACAGTTGAAAGAATACATTAACTTTATGTATTGTTTGATGATGTATATGATAATTGTTTATATGCATTGTGTTGTGTGGGAGGAGATAGGGGATGCACTCCACGGTTTAGGGGAACATAGAGGATAGGCCTCTAAACCAGTTAATGTTCGGGAGAAGATAGGGGATGGACTCCGGTGATGCAGCTCATATGCTTATCTATGGAAGTGTTGATATAGGTCATATGCTTATCTGTTGAGGTGTTGGTACAGCTTGTATGCTTATCTATTGCGAAATGGGAAACGTTTAATATAAATTATTCTTTCGTTTAGAGTGTGTGGCCAGGTTCTGAGCCACGGGTATGAATTTGGAAATTGGATAAGAAATGGAAAATGAAATGAAACATAGACATAGTGGTCATGTAATGGAAATGGTTTTATGAATTGATTTATTGGAGTTAAACATTTATCAATTGCTAATGTCATAGTTACTGCTCATATTGTGTTTAGCATATCTCTACTGGGCGTTGGCTTACCCTATATGGGACATTATTTTTAGGTACAGGTAGCATGCCACCTCCAAGGACATAGCTTGGATGGTTGTGGGAGTTGAAGGCTCTTTTTGATTATTTTGTTTGTATTACATGAATATCAAGACAAGGGCTTATTTTGTTTAGAGTTAGTACTCTTCTTTTGTGTAACCAAGCGTTGACTTGGAAAGCTGTAAGCCCGTAGGGCATTTGCTTTTGTTGTTAATATGTAATACTGTTGTAAGAACTACTTTGATGAATGGAAAGGCGTTCATTTTCTTATATTATTGCATGTCTGAATGATGGGTATTATGTATTATTTTGAGGGCGTTACAACTTGGTATCAAAGCTACCAGGATCAAATACTTCAGGCACGTGGGAAATGATTAGTATCACAATGGGTTTGTCTCGCTTGTTAGAGACTTAGATGTAATGTTATGTACTTATGTGATAACATGTTTGTGTGATTAATTGGGTATGGGATTTAGTTTCTAGGGTGTTGATTGAATCCTTGGGTTTCTGTGAGTCTTGTTGGAAAAGCACTTGATCAATGCTGTTTCTAACCGGAACTCTAGTAACGCCTCGGGACTATCATTATCCGGAAATGAAATTCGTAAGTGCTTATGTAATTGTGTGCTTACATGGAATGAATTACAGTTGTCCATACATTAGGACGCGAGTGTTATAGCTTTGGCACATTTATGAATGTGCTAATGTTCTTCGTTACCTTTATTAGGATGTCAGGACGAGGATGAGGTGGTAGGCGTGGCAGGCGAAGTAGGCAGGAGATGCCTTTACCGGATAATATTTCGGCACAACAAGAGGGAGTTGGTCTGGCCAATGTGGCCGAGCCAGCGGGTCAGCAGGCTATAAGTGCCTTGGCTCGAGAGATAGCAAAAGCTTTGGGTATTCTCAGAGCTGGGAATCAGGATCAGGCCCACGTTACTGAGCCAGGGCCTTCTTTTCTGATGAGGAAATTCTTCCGGTCTAAGCCGGACAAGTTTGTTAGGGATCCGAAGGAGCCACTTAAGGCTGACGAGTGGTTGGAACAGATGGAGAAGATGTTCGAGATGCTTGGCATCGAGAACGGGGTTTAAAGGTGACCCTGGCATCCTTCCAACTGAAGGGAGATGCGGGTCAATGGTGGAAGTACGAGAAGGGCAGTGTTGGTGGTGCATGGGGGGCTTTTGTGGATGCCTTCCAGGGGAAGTTTTTATCTTCAGCTGCTAGGGAGAAGCTGAGGGAACAGTTTTGCCAGCTTAAACAGTAGGGTTTGTCAGTGGCCGAGTTTGAGGCTTCTTTTACTAGCTTGTCCAGGTTTGCACCTGAACTTGTGGCATCCAAGGAACGCCGTTGCTTTGAGTTTGAGCGAAAGTTATGGCATGGACTCAAGTTGAGGGTTGGAGGGTCGTTTATTCGAGAGTATAGACGTTTGGTGGATGCAGCAGCTCATATGGAGATTATGATGCAGGAGGAGGATGAGGAGAAGCATAGAGGTTCCAAGAGGAGCCAAGATGGCCAGGGTGATGGCAGGAGACAGAGGGGTTTCAACCCTCAGCAGTCTCAGGGTGGTTTGGCTAGATCAACCTTTCCAGTGCTGAGTGCTGGCTCCGGGAGAGGTAATCAGGGAGGCTTGACTTGTTTCACATGTGGCCAGCTGGGTCACAAGTCTTCGGTTTGCCCGTAGAAGGGAGGGGGTCAGCAAGCTGCTTCTTCTTCAGCTAGACCTCAGGGCCAGAGTCAGGGCAGGGGCTGTAGACACCCTATTGTTGACCGTCCTCAAGACTTGGGCGTCACCATTTGAACACTCGGTGATCATCCTTGTTTGTGTTCGTCTTGAGTTCCCGGAGGTCTCGGCTATGCGCCTTGCCTTAGGATCTCTCAACTCGACTGTTTTGTGTTTGGTTTTGCACCAAACACTTGTGTTTTGCCTTGAAGGGGACAGGGAATGGCTTATTGGCCATCCCCACACATCACCGGCCATGGCTTGGGGCCACTGCCCATTGTTTTGTTGCCACCGGCCAAATGTTTGGCCGGCTGGCACTTTTTGTGGCCGGCCGATCATCTATTTTGGTCAAATTGCATTTTTTGCCGGCCGACCACTGTTCACCTGCTTTTGTAGATATTTTTGTACCGGTTATGATAGCTGACTCCCACCTTTGCTCCCCTCCATACACGTGTATGGAGGGATTTGAACCTTGTTAGCTTGCCTTGGAAGCTTTACAAGGTTGAATCTTCTATAAGAGGAGGCCTCTTCTCCCTCTTTTAGGTTAGGCAACATTTTTTCAGAGGGCTCTGGTTTTAGGGTTTGAGTTGTGTATCTATCCTATATCTATATCTCCCTCTCTCTTGTGTTTTGTGTGTGTTTTGTCTTACTTTTGTGCACAAACACCCACCATTACACCTTCATT